TGCCTCATTGGATAATATTCTCAGACTGTTTAGGTACTTATCACCTTTAAGGGTCATTTTTAAATGCTTTAAGTCATGTCCTTCTACAATAATCGTCTGGAGTTGAGAAATTTCCCCTAGTATTTTCTGAAGAGAATTAAGAGTTTAATAATGATCTCTCCTAATTTGTACCTTTTGAGGTCTGATTCTTTGTAAGTCTATTTTGTAACCTAAATACTTAATAGAATCTCCTCTTTGTATCTTTTCCGGGGCAATCTGTAACCCCCATCTAGGCAGAACTTCCTTCACCATGTCAAACATAGGTTCCAAAGTTTCCTTATTGGAATCTGATAAAAGAATATCATCCATGTAATGATAAACAAGAGATTGTGAAAATTTCTTATGAATTACTTCCAAAGGTTGCTGTACAAAGTGCTGACACAAAGTAGGTCTATCTAGCATTCCTTGTGGCAAAACCCTCCACTGATATCTCCTAACTGGCTGTGAATTATTAAGAGTTGGTATAGTAAATGCAAATTTTTCTCTGTCATTTTCCTGTAATGGAATTGTGAAAAAACAGTCTTTTAGATCAATGACTATGATCAGCCTTCCTTTAGGTATCAAGGAAGGCAATGGCATTCCAGGTTGCAGAGAGCCCATTGGTTGAATTACCTTATTTATGGCTCTCAGGTCTGTCAGCATTCTCCAGTTACCTGACTTCTTTTTTATTGCAAATATAGGAGAATTCCAAGCGCTGGTAGATTCCTCTATGTGTCCAGCATCTAGCTGTTCCTGAACTAGTCTTTCTAAAGCCTCTAGATTCTCAGAGGTCATAGGCCATTGTCCTACACAAACAGGTTCATCTGTAAGCCACTTCAATGGCAGGGCCTTTGGCTCCTCTGAAGTTCTATCATTTGTACCTAGTACAGCCTGGATGGTTGGTAACCATTTTCCATAGCATCTTACCAGATGTTTTCTACTATCTAAAGATTGTACATAATTTGTATCTGACACTGGAGGAATATTAATATGAGTATTCCATTGCTGTAAAAGATCATAACACCAGAGATTTATAGCTATATCTGTCACATATGGTTTCAGTCTCCCTTTCTGTCTTTCCAGTCCAATGCAGACCACCGAGTGAACACTCTGTTGAACCCTAGATAGAGTTCCAATTCCTAAAAATTGCACATTTGCCTCTCTAAGAGGTCATTTCTGAGTCCAGGACTTTTGGGTAATAATAGTCACATCTACCCCAGTGTCTACTAAGCCAATAATAACTTTATTATTAATTTTCACTTTCAACTGAGGTCTTTTATCATTAATAGAAGTTTGCCAAAATATGCGTTTCTCATTTTGTCCATTCACATTTGATTCTTCTTCTCTAGCCAAACTACCATCTAGATCAGTATTATTTTTCACAATAGGCAAAGAACTATCTATTCGTTCTGTGAGAGATTGTCTTCCACTGCCACTGGCAATGACTGGACCTTTCTTGATGTGGGGGACTTCTTGAGCCCCTCTCAGGGTTTCCCGGCCTTAACGGGTTTCCTTGCATGTCCCTGGTCGATCTACATTCATTGGTCCAGTGTCTGCCCTTACCACATCTTCTACACAATCCAGAAAGCAGTGGCCTTCCATATGAGGCATTGTTAGAATTCATTTGTCTACAATTTCTCTTGATATGTCCCATTCTACCACAGATGAAAATCTAGGTTCCTGGTGCCTTTGTGGTCTCCTGGAGAAGACGCTTCCTACCCAAGATTGAGGTTCATAGTAGTAATAACCTCGAGCCTCTTGGTACCTATGATGACCTCTGTAAGGTGTTTCTCCTTCCCAAGCCTTTGCATCCTCACCTCTAGAAATTTAATTTCCTGTTGTCTTTTTAAACCTTTGGAGATCGCTTCTCCTACCCAAACTCCAGTATCTTGCACATTATAGTCAATGTTGGCTGCATGCAAAACCCATTCTTCTAGCAGAGTTGATCTGATCTTTAAAGGCAAAGATTCTTTTGCATATTGGGTTTGCATTTTCATATGCTATTGTATATATAATTGATTGTCTTGTTTCTGGATCTGTTACCAGTAATTCTACTCCTCTGGTTAACCTTTGTAAGAAGTCCTGAAACTGTTCTGTAGGTCCCTTTTCTATTCTGGTATGAGCTTCTAGGCATTCTCCTGGCTCACAAACCTTATCCTGGGCATTTAATGCTGCTTTCCTGCATAGGGACAGTATATGGTCATCATATTCATCCTGAGCCTGTGGGTTAGCATAAATACCCTCACCAAGAATCTTATCTAGAGGGGCTTCAAAACCTTCCTTTATGCCCTGACACTCAAGGAGCTT